TCCCAGAATTCCCCAGCCAGCCAAGCTCAACTCAACTAGAGTTGAGCATCAACGTGCCAAGCTGGTCTGCTTTGGCCTTTATTAGTGGAGCAGAGAAGTGCATTTTTACAAGCAGGGCGGGGTCAGTCTGCCCACCCTGGTTGTTTTCCCCATCCCCCCTCCTCCTCCTCCACGGTTTTCCTCTCCCCCACTTCAGGGGCAACACCCGGGTGGCTCTGAAAATCATCAAGAACGTGGAGAAATACAAAGAAGCCGCTCGCTTGGAGATCAACGTGCTGGAGAAAATTAACGAGAAAGATCCCAACAACCAAAAGTAAGTTGGATTTTGCTGAATTCACGGGGAAAAATTAATAAAAGGTTTTTTTTGTCCTTTGGACAAGGAATTTGCGTCAGGCTCTTGGGAAGCCTCGGTCAGAACACTAACCTGCCTTTACTTGAGTGCCGGTCGCTTTTTAAAAAGCCCATTCTCCTCTTTCCCATCCCTCTTCCTCCTCTTCCTCCTTCTCTTCCTCTTTGCCTTGGTTTCCTCTTTTAGCCTCTGCGTCCAGATGTACGACTGGTTTGACTATCACGGCCACATGTGCATCTCTTTTGAGCTCCTGGGGCTCAGCACGTTCGACTTCCTGAAGGATAACAACTACCTGCCCTACCCCCTCCACCAGATCAGGCATATGGCCTACCAAGTGTGCCAAGCGGTCAGATGTGAGTGATCCCGGGGGGGGGAGGGGGCTACTAAGGGCTGAGAGAAGGGGGGTGTGTGTCATTCCAATTTGTTTTGAATTAGAATAAGGATTGTCGATGCCTCAGCTGGGAGTGACTTTGAATGTAGAAGGGTGCATGGGAACATGTGGGATTTCCCCTTTTCCTCCCTCCCTCTGTCCATTCATTCATTTATCTACCTACCTGCCTATCAATCAAAATGCTCATCCATCTATCCATATCAATCTTTCCCTTCCTTTCTTCCCTCCCTCCCTTATCTCCATCTGTCTCTTGTGTTTATCATCCCTTCCTCCTGCTCTCCCTCCCTCCCATCGCTCAATCCATCCAATCTTTGTATCTTTCTTCTCCATTTCCTTCCATTCTTTCTCCACTTATTTTTTCCCTCCCTCCCCTATCTCTGTCTGTGTGTCTGTCTATCAACCTCTCTCTCTCCCTTCCTTCCTTCCTCCTATCTTTATATCTTTCCGTTTCCTTCCATTCTTTCTCCACTTATTTTTTCCCTCCCTCCCCTATCTCTGTCTGTGTGTCTGTCTATCAACCCCTCTCTCTCCCTTCCTTCCTTCTTCCTATCTTTATATCTTTCCGTTTCCTTCCATTCTTTCTCCACTACTTTCTTTCTTTTCTCCCTCCCTTCCCTATCTCCATCTGT